AACGTTGATGAATTGTGTGGTGTGGGTAAAATCATGTTGGACATATACTTGATTTAATTCTGTGCTCAGACATGATATTTACCAGGTGTTGTTGGGCAATGCGTTACTCCCTAACCTATCCACCTTTGCAAGTCTGTTTTGAGGAGAAAATGGGACAATCCTTAAAAATGCTACTGCAACTTCCTTAAAGGAGGGACATGACATTATAATGTTCTTGGAGGAAAGGTGATATCCAGTTAGTAATTAAATGATGTTCTCTTAAATAAATGAAACCCAAAGGTGCTTTACAGTACCTATAGTTGCCAAGAATGAAATGCTGATTGAAACTTGTGAAGATGCTAGCACTGAAGACATATTACATTTATATTCTTATATATTTTATATGAAAGAAAATTGTAAACATTTGAAAACATTTGTAGGTTTGAATTGAAATGCTTTGTAATGTGAAAATAAGGAACTGATTTACATATAAGAAGGTGGTTTTTTTATTTAAAGAAGATATAAGGTAAAGAAGTGACTATAGAAATGCGAGAATTTATTAAAATATGTTTGGAAGTCAGAAAGAGGGAGGGAAGGAAGTCGATGCTCTGCCTGAGCAATGCTTTATGTTATAGATTTGTGTAATGAAATGTAATTAAATATGGAAAACTCAATGAAAATCATTTTTTTATATAAAAAAAATGTATATTCTTATCTACAGCACGTTTCATGCATTACTAATCTGAAGAGTTTCCACATACATACATAATAGGAATGTGGCTGTGACGGAGTCTCTGGGCCTTCAAGGTCCATGTGTTTGCATGGATGCCAGTTCCTGAGCAGGTGCATAGGTGCTGCACATTTGGACCACCGATTGTGTGACAGCCTTGATGACAGTTTTCACAGTCTGTACCTTTTGCATTTCCTTCCCTTCTGACATGGTTTCTTACCCTCCACCTCAGCCATGTGCCTCCACACTTGCTAAAGACAATACTTCATCCATCTGATGAAGTGGGATCTAGTTGATGAACGCTGTCAAGGCTGCCTCAGGTCTCAGCTCACAAAAGACCAACGCCAATCTCTTCTTATATACAAAAGCGTTTATTGCAGTTCATTGTTTGCTTCATATCCGAGGCGCGCAGCCCCACGTCTGTACGCTTAGACCGTTGCAGTCCCCTCTGAGTCAGTCCCTCCCCTGCACCAGTTTAAGAAGCTTGCGCTGCTCCACCTCTTTCTCTCTTTCCTTTTCCGCAGGGTCTTCCTGCCCCCTGCGGTTCCGCTCCTCCTGGATTCCCCTAAGGCGGAATCTCCAGATTGCTCTTCCCCCCTCCTGCGGGCTTTGGGATCTGGCTCCTCCTCCTCCGGGCTCCCTGTACTTCCGCGCGCCTCCACATTTGAACTTGGCGTGCGCGCCCAACCTCTAACCTTCCTTTTGACAGTTACACTACTCCCTTCACTACTCCCCTCCCCTTCCGGGAGGGTGGCTTGCTCCGACCTCCCTCCCTTCTCTGCTGCTGGAGCTGCTTCCCCTGATACACTGGAACCTCCACTCCCCTGGCTGCACTCTGGCGGGGAGGCTGGTCCTGACGCCCAGCTGCCACTTTGGGATCCCCTGCTGGCCCCCTGCTCCTGACACGTCCCCCCTGGGGCTCCCTGGCCTTGACCACCGGCGCCCCCCTTCTGGGAATCCTCTGATTCGCTGGAAAGACTCATGGAATCTCTTGAGTCATTGTCATCCTCTTCCTCGCTGTCCTGGGATTCATCCCCATCGCTCTCCATCTCCTGCCTACCCTGTGCCTCTGTCCCTGAACCCCTGACAAACGCTTATGCCAAAATACATTGATGAGACTCAAAGGAGTCATGATAACCTTGGTTGTTTTTGATGCAGCAAGCAGCTATTCCTCTGGACATCATTCCTTCCTGTTACTTTTTCTCAGCACAGTTATTAAACCATGTTTGTTCACCTGCTCACAAACTGCATGATGAGCACTTGTCTTCCTTATTTCTTTCTTCATCCCCCCCCCCAACCCATTGACAATTAGCAAATATCGAAGGGGCCTCTAAAGCAGACAACCTATGGATGTAAGATCAGCCATGAGATGGTTCAGATGTGATAGCCAATAGTTTGCTCTTATAAATAATGGTGTGTTCATGGTGTGATGCGGCAGTATAATAGACAAAATAAGAATAATCTGGTTTGCCCCTGTTGTTGCACTAGATGGTCGAAAAAGAAGGTAAAGGACCCGTGGACGCTTAAGTCCAGTCAAAGGCAACTATGGGGTTTTGGCACTCGTCTCGCTTTCAGGCTGAGGGAGCTGGCATTTGTTCACAAACAGCTTTCTGGGTCATGTGGCCAGCATGGCTAAACCGCTTCTGGCACAATGGAACACTGTGACAAAAGCCAGATCGCACAGAAATGCTGTTTAGCTTTCTGCCACAGCGGTACCTATTTATCTACTTGCCCTGGCATGCTTTCAAGCTGCTAGGTTGGCAGGAGCTGGGACAGAGCAACGGGAGCTCACTCCATTGCGGGGATTTGAACCACTGACCTTCTGATCGGTAGGTCCAAGAGGCTCAGTGGTTTAGCCCACAGCGCCACCCTTGCACACTAGATGGACCTTTCTCTGATCCAGTGAAGCTCTTCTTATGTTCTTAGAAATCCATGAGCTAAACACATTGAGCCATGTGTTGTGGTCTGCTGGTCATGTGTTGTGGTCTGCTAGGTACCTGATAATGTTCATCTCATTTTAGCAAGTAGGGAGCAAAAACTGGAGGTTTATCAAGACCCAACTGGGTCACCATCTAATGCTCATGGGCTTTATTTAGTTTGGTTCAGAAGCAGCTCACCTGACGTTGCACAGTGGGTCATTGTTGCTTACTGGGAGTGGGGAATTGGTAGTCAGTGTAGCGCACTGGAAGAGGTGCTGGAACATAACACACTTGGAAAAAAGAATCCTTTACAGTTTCCCCCATCTGGGGTGACTTTCATTCAGCCACTCATGTTTGGCATGCTGCTGCCACTGATACCCCATCCCACCCCTCAATTTCCTATTTCTTTTTTAATGCTGCTTGCAAAACTTCAGTGGTAGTTTTCTCCACTCCATCATATGCACACTAAATCACGTAAAATGCCATGGAAGGGGCTGCAGGAGCCAATTTGGATAAGTCCGCTTACCCTAAACAGTTAGGCAGCATTGTGGCCTAGCCATGGGCACCATGTCAGTGATCCTTAAAAGGACTTTGGGCCTGCCTGCGGCTTGGTTCATGTGTTGCGTAAGCCCATTACATCTGCTATTAAAGATAAAGGGACCCCTGACCGTTAGTCCAGTTGCGGACGACTCTGGGGTTGCGCGCTCATCTCGCTTTACTGGCCGAGGAAGCTGGCGTACAGCTTCTGGGTCATGTGGCCAGCATGACTAAGCCGCTTCTGGCATACCAGAGCAGCACACGGAAATGCCATTTACCTTCCCACCAGAGTGGTACCTATTTATCTACTTGCACTGAGTGCTTTCGAACTGCTAGGTTGGCAGGAGCAGGGACCGAGCAACGGGAGCTCACCCCGTTGAGGGAATTCAAATCGCTAACCTTCTGATCGACAAGCCCTAGGCTCTGCGGTTTAACCCACAGCGCCACCCGCGTCCGCATATGCTATTATCCTGTGTCAAATGTCAGTATCTCACAGAGCTTTGTAACTACCGGGGCAGGTGCCAGAATTTTTGGACAGCGGTTGCTTCAGAGGAAACAATAGCTGTGTTTTTCCCTTTCTATAGTTCAAATGATTGTTTGTTTTGAGAAATGCTGTATTTTCACATTCCCAGGAGCCACATTCTGTTCTAATGGATGTGTGCTTTTTCATAAACCAACAGACAGTCCTGGGATTGTGGAATTTATAGTTAATGAGTTAGACAGGAGAGTAGTTAAGCACATCATCCATGGTTGTACACACACATAACAACTTCTCCCCCCCCCCAAAAAAATATTAACCTTTCCCTAGCTGCCATCAGCACATCAATAGATCTTAAGACTACAGCTGCATTCACATTACTCTGGGTGCAGCTTGCTTCTGCTGCTGGTGTTCAAAGCCAAATGTACACAGCATTAGCCCCAATCCATATGTATCCTTCAGCTTCTTGGGAAATACTCCTGTCTGGTGCATTTTCCCTTAACCCAGCTTCCATCCAATTGAAAAATGGAAGCCATGAGGTGCGTCCATTTCAGATAACTGTTGCACACGCATAGATGCCAACTTGGAGTTAACTGGAGTTAGGCATGGGGAAACAAATCAGGATATTGGCACTGGGGGACGACCTCCCCACCCCTTGTGCATGGCAGCCTCAGAATATGACTTGAAAGGAAGCAAAGGGAAATGACCTTGTCGCATTTCAATCTAGCGATCTGTACATAGCTTACATCTCATTTTCTGGACACTGCTGTGACCTCTACCAGCAGCTGTGTGTAGTCACTAGCTCATGCCCTCTTTCTGTCATATGCAGGGAGGGTTAGTGACTCTTCGTGAATTGGTGCAGCTCTCAGCAGTGAGGGGTGTGTGGGTGGGTGTGTGGGTGTGCGCGCGCATGTGCGTGTGTGGTGCAAAAAACCACAACAAAACAGAATAGGATTATTATTTTTTTGCAAAGGAGACAAAGACAGGAAACAAACAGATTCACCCGTGCCTAAGGACAGGAAACATTCCATGAACTCAAGCCATGCCTACAGCTACCTTGTAGAAGAGAAATATTTTAATTGAAATAAGCATGGTTTTACTTCACATTTTATTATACCACATCAGTCCACACATGTATTTGTTTTAAGTTTTTAAAATCCACTACTTTGGGATTACTACTAGGTCATTATTTATTTTTAATAGTTACAATCTGCCCTTCATTCACATGCAGAGAGAGGCAGGCAGCCCTGAGAATCTGATTTTGGAGTACCAAATGGTTAATCATGTCAGTTTACTGTTGTATCTTTTTTTACCACCATGAGAGCCACCATTTAAATTTTCTTTCTGGGATGCCAAAATGTCTGGGGCTGTTGTCTCCTTTTCTATAGACTTCTGGTAAAATCAAGCTTGAATCCATTTGAGAAGTAATAAAAAACATTGGGGGTTTTTTCTTTCTTTCTTTCTTTCAGAAAACACCCACATTTTCTACAATTATTTAGTGACAAATAATGAACAAGAGACTTTTTAATGGTAGCATATGTGTCTGTGTGTGGGGGGGGGGAGAGAGAGAGAGAGAGAGAGAGAGAATTTGTATGTATGTGTGCATATATATCTATATCTGTATCTATATCCATACCTATATCTATCTATCCAGTTGTACCTTAGAAGTCGAACGGAATCTGTTCCGGGAGTCTGTTCGACTTCCAAAACGTTCGGAAACTAAAGCGCAGCTTCTGATTGGCTGCAGGAAGCTCCTGTAGCCAATTGGAAGCCACTGAAGACCTGTCAGACGTTCGACTCCCAAAAATAGTTCGCAAACCAGAACAGTCACTTCTGGGTTTGCGGCATTCGGGAACCAAAACATTCAACTTGCAAGGCGTTCGGGATCCAAGGTACGACTGTATACCTACGCAGTAATTTTAGTTTTTAATCTTAATCTTTAGAATTCAGATGGATTAGCATCTAAACAAATAGGTAAGCAATAAATATATAAATTGCATTAATTTAATATAATTTTTCACTGTAGCCTTTGTGAAAGGGATGTTGGATAACATGAATTTTAAATGAGGATGGAGAAAGATCACCTTTCATTAATGCTTATTAAAGGGCTTTACTTTCCAGTATCACTGAAGTGCTTTATTCTGTGGCATCCTTACATATCACCACTTAATATGACCCACCCATCTTATCATTGTCCTACAAAGCTTATTATTGTGCATTTGAATGTTTACATTTAGCTGTGGTTACTGGATTTTGACAGCAGATGGAGCAAATAGCCTGCCATTTTTATGCATATATTTTGGAGAGTGTTTCTGTCTGCTCATTTCAGTCTCTTGCAATATTGTAATTCATTTTAATGTCACGACACCGTCTCGTAGCTCTGTGTGGGGATGAGAATCAACATACTAAAGAAACCCATTGCTACTGAAGCAGCATTTGGCATTTCCCACCTCTGTAAACAATTTCCTATCATATAAGGTATAACGACTGTAGTAATAAATGTGGGAATAGTCGTAATTGTAATAGCAGTGATGGTTGTATTTTCAACAGCAGTAGTAAAATGCCACACAGAAACTGATAGTAAGTAAATAGTCAAGCTCAGTGTGGTAGCCATACCAGAGTCAAAAGCTTCAAAGGACAAGGAGGATCCTTGGGTCAACTGATTCCTCTTGACTTGGCGGTTACTTTTCTACTCTTTGTAGCCATTTGTAATCTTTAACAGCAAGCCAGTGTGTTGGAAAAATGGAGTCACTCTGGTCAAGAGAAATGAGCTAAGGCAGAAATATCTCTGAACATTTTGTTCCTGACAACAACAGGAAACTCTTTCAACCACAAAGTAACTGGTGGAGCTTGTTGTCAAGCCAAGGTGTCAAAAGCTGAAGCTTGAAAACTGAAGTGTCAGCAGAAAGAAATTAGATTATGGTCACTACAGACCATACAGCAAAGGAATCAGAAAGGGCTAAGCAGTGACAGAGAAATGCAGTTATCGGAGCCAACTCCTAGGGGCTGAGCTCCCTTTGCCCGCCCGCTCCCAATAAATTATTTGAGGGGCCAAGACAGACAGATGCCAACAATGTGATGAAATTTCACTTATTATCTCACTTATTTATTTACAATGTTTATTTTATCTAACATATTTATGTACCAACTTTCAACCAATGGTTACAGAAACAACACAAGTGGGTTCCATGTTTTTATCATCACTGTTGTAAAAACAGTTTTTCTTCCCTGGATAAAATACAGTGCATATTTGGATACCACCAGCACATCTGTTCCACATAGTGCAAATTGAATGTAGAATACACACACCAAAAAAATGCCAGTGATTGTGCATTTTCATATTCAGCTTTGGAGCATGTGCACGATGAACAGGGCATTTTGTCCATTGCCCAGTCAATTTTGCATCAGTCCCCCATGTGACTTTGGACGACATGCAGACTGAAGGAGACAATGTCAGTAGGATAATTACAGTGGTACCTCTGGTTACGAACTAAATTAGTTCCGGAGGTCTGTTCTTAACCTGAAACTGTCCTTAACCTGAGGTACCACTTTAGCTAATGGGGGCCTCCTGCTGCCGCCGTGCTGCCACCAAGCGATTTCTGTTCTCATCCTGAGGTAAAGTTCTTAACCCGAGGTACTACTTCCGAGTAAGCGGAGTCTGTAACCCAAAGTGTTTGTAACCTGAGGTGTTTGTAATTTGAGGTACCACTATATATACTTTGGTCAGTCTCTGTATTCAGTTTCTGGACAAGCTTATTGGCCAGGCGGCATACAAAACTGACATTAGGATCATGTGTGCTAGGCAATGTATGAACAATTTCCTAACATCTGCTGGTGACTATCCATATCTGGCCACAAATGAAACTCTTGGTGCAGTGAATGTGTGCACATTCTCTATTCAACTCACATCACCTCAAACATATTCACTTTATTGCCACAACAGATGACTTTAGAAATCAAAACCCAAAAAACAAATGGGTTGCCTGATTTTGTATTACATGGTTTCTATTCATAAAGATTCTCTATTAAGCACCTGATTTCTCTCTCTGTTTTCTAGAGATAATTCCAGCTTCTTGCAGTTCCTTAAAATATTTTTTTAAGAAATAAAAAACCCATGGCATCAAATTAGGAGCTTCATAACCATTTTCTTCTCCTTTTCTTAAGCAATGCTGATTCTTTGTTGCCAGTGAGAGCTGCGTTCAAAAGCAAGATGCCTCACACCAGCAGCTGAACTCGCTGCAGGAATATAGAGATGTTGCCATACCAAAAACTCATTACCTGCCGGCAGACACTATTAAACCTCAGGAGGAGAAAGGTAACAACATTGTTGTAGCCAATTTAAAAATAATAACAGTGCTACCTAGAGTGGCTTTTTAAAAAAACAACAACAACATCTACAAAAAATGTAGTGATTTTACGTACTATATATTAGCACAGAATTTCACCATAGGTTGATGGTAAAAAAGCAACCCTATATATTATTCATTTGAAAACAGCAAGAAATAAAATATAAGTCCTCCTTTTAAACTACACAAACACTAGACTACACACACAGCCCAAAGTCTCCTCTAGCCAGAAACACACTGAGTGTGGCTCTCTAGGTACTTTACAACATTTACAGATCTCTTGCCTCTAAAATATTATCAACCTTAATCCTATGAAAATTAGAAACATTTTAATGCTTTTTTATATAAAAAAATAGAAATAATAGAAATACCTGTTTCCTCCAGCCTTCACCAGCACCTAGAAATAAATACTGTGGAGAGCAAATAGGATTTTACCATATACAAACCTAATTCCTCCTTGATGCTTGGCATACTGTTACACACGTTGTATATGCCAACTTGGTACTTTCCAGATGTTCTTGGATGATATCTCCCATCAGTCCCATCCACTACAACATGGTGAGAGTTGCAGTACAAAATATCTGAAACAGACCAGGTTGGGACAGGCTGAGTTATACATTTGTGGGCCCAAACAAGGCACGAAGAACAAACACAAGTTAAGTGATGGATGAGAAATGGCTGCAACTTTGTTTGGCTACAAAGAAGTAAGTTTGGCTTGACATGGCATGGGCATGGATCCATTCATCAGGCTGCACGTCTGATGGTCACTATTCTCCTGCCAGACTGTTTCCCAGGTCCTCCGATGGCTGGAAATGACCTGATCTGTTTTGGGGTCCATGGTGGCATGTGCTGATTCTGGTGGTCCTCATTTTGTCAGGAAATTATGGCTTGTCAGCCTCCAAGCTAGATTTTGGACAGTAATGACCCCCTTTCAAGATCCATTAAGGGGATAATCTCTGGATGAAGCAGGGAGCCCTTCCCCTGCTTATCCCATCCCAGTACATTTCCGAGCGCAATTCAAAGTGTTGGTGCTGACCTTTAAAGCCATAAACAGCCTCGGCCCAGTATACCTGAAGGAGCATCTCCACCCCCATCGTTCAGCCTGGACACTGAGGTCCAGCTCCAAGGGCCTTCTGGCAGTTCCCTCACTGCAAGAAGTGAGGTTATAGGGAACCAGGCAGAGGGCCTTCTTGGTAGTGGCGCCTGCCCTGTGGAATGCCCTCCCATCAGATCTCAAGGGAATAAACAGCTATGTGACTTTTAGAGGACATCTGAAGGCAGCACTGTTTAGGGAAGTTTTTAATGTTTGATGTTTTATCGCATTTTTTAACATTCTTTTGGGATCCAACCAGAGTGGCTGGGAAAGCCCAGTCAGATGGGTGGGGTATTATTATTATTACTATCCCAATACATTTCCCACCAGAATAAGTTGTGACAAAACTAAATGTACCTTGTAAACATCCCCTGCTACGAGGAAGATGGAAACCCCACAGAACCAATGCCAGGCTGCCTACAGATAAAATGCCTCCCCAGTCAGCAACTGACTGAGATCCACAGTAATATTGTGTATCAAATCCCCTGAGGCAAGAACAACTTTCAACCTTCAACTAACAACAGATGAGAGTAGGTGGGGAAGATGGAAGTCACAAAGAAACTGAAGTGAGGCGACCTGGCTGGTTCTCCTTTTATGCTCTAGGAGTGAACCACAGCTGGGGGTTTCGTCTATGTGGTCTGCCTCTTGACCCCACTGCCGGGGAGCCCAGGAAGCCTTTCTGTTTTCTCCAGTGGTTCAAATCCGCTCCAAAAGTCTTTGTGTGGTAAGCCAGAAGGTATAGCTGGCGTCACTGTGGCCAAATGGGAAAGTGGCTTGGCTCCCCTCTTCCAATCTGTATGGGACCACAGAGAGGCATCTCCAGTTATTTAGGGATAAAAGGATTTGCAGTGTAAGCTCCTCCTTTTGAAAGGAATATACCTTGGGAATTGGGTCTCTGTTATGTTTGGGCATCTGTGTGAAGAACCCGCCCGCCATACAGTGGTACCTCGGGTTAAGTACTTAATTCCTTCCGGAGGTCCGTACTTAACCTGAAACTGTACTTAACCTGAAGCACCACTTTAGCTAATGGGGCCTCCTGCTGCTGCCGCGCCGCCGGAGCATGATTTCTGTTCTCATCCTGAAGCAAAGTTCTTAACCTGAAGCACTATTTCGTGGTTAGCGGAGTCTGTAACCTAAAGCGCATGTAACCTGAAGCGTATGTATCCCGAGGTACCACTGTATTATGTTGTGTGTGTTGTGGAGAGGAACATGCCCTTACCATATGAAGCGGAATACCTCCTTGATAAATATCAACTGGCAAACTCACATGCGTACTGCAGTAAATTATGTCTTGGTAAATTTTCATTTGTACAAACCCAACGTATAATCTGACTATGTGGCGAAATATCTTTTAGCAAACATCAAGTGCAGATGTGAGGTAAAATGTGTCTCTCTTTAACCCTTTAGTGGCTGTATAAATATGGCTTTGGAATAAAATAAGCCCAAGAAAGCCGTACAAATAAAATATCAGGTGGACAATATTAGGCATTTGCAAGTAAAAATGTCATCAAATAATAAATGTAATGTTTACATGTTACTAACAAGATATCAGACCGACATAAAATACATCAGATTTCAGGTTAGTGAGTTTGGGCATGATCTCTTCAATTGAAGCAAGACTACCGGAAGAAGTATTGATATAAATTTTATTACCTATGTAGTACACACATTTTTGAAACAAAAGGCCGTATAACTTGGAAAGTTGCTTTTGTGTGGTTTCATGATATCACAGAGATATAAATGAGTATCAGAAATTGAGAGAGAGTACGCAAATATTTATTTCAGCTTTGTTTTCTGATATGTCCTCCGAATAAAGGTCAGTCAAGTTTATTTATAATACCCGAAGTGTCTGACTATGCTACTTTGCCTGACACATTAAGTTCAGGATTTTATAAAATAAAATAAAATAAAAGATACTAATAATAATCATTTATTATCTTGTGCAGCAGCATTCGAGGAGGGTGAGGAAGATAAAACTGACGTCTTAGGAAATCTGAAGAAGCAGCTCGGGAGAAACATGAAGTAAATATAGTGCATTAGAAGTGATATCAAAATGAGGAAGACAAGGGGAGGCTATAGGTCTACAAGTCTGACCTTTCTGCGAGGGAAAACAGTTCTTTAGTCTTTGATTAAGCTCAGCGAGAGAAGGAACACTTGAGCAGGTTATGAACTCCTCCAAGGTGGCAGCCGGCGTAAGAAGGGGAGGCCATGCTGAACAAATTTGATTAACTTCTTTGAGAACCTGATGGCGAAAGCTGACAGTACTGAAACAAGAGACAATTGATTCTGAAAGCTTCTTAAAAAGCCAAAAAGAGGGGGAAACAATTAGTGTGGGATTTAACACCAGAGCGCACTGGCAAATGAATAGAGGAGCTGCGTTACCAGACAAATGGTAATAGACGGTTCCACTTTGGTTTCTGCTATTTGAGTATGAAACTGAAAAAAAAATGTATACAGAGAAGCACACCTAGCCTTTGTGAAGTCAGTGGACTATCTACACAAATACCTGAAATCAATATATTTGGGCATATTATAGATGTGTTATAGAAATTCAAATATAGAATATATCTCAAATATAGAATAAATGCCTAAAATATTACAGGAGAGCAATCCAAAAGCCATTTTGTCTTTCCTAAAGACTCTAAATATTTCCTCTGCCTCCTTAATCCCCCTTGCCTGAGGTAGGCAGGCAGACAGCAATCAGGGGAAGTTCCTGAAGGGATTCCTCTCCTATATCTATTAACCTCTTTTGTTTTAATTGTCATAGTTTGCCCAGATGCTCTGCATTGAGGGATGGTTGAGGGTATCGTGACTGTCTTATCAAATGCTAATGTTTTGGAACTATGTAAAACTGCAGATGGTGACAGCAGCCATGAAATTAAAAGACGCCTGCTTCCTGGGAGAAAAGCAATGACAAACCTAGACAGCATCTTAAAAAGTAGAGACATCACCTTGCCAACAAAGGTCTGTATAGTTGAAGCTATGGTTTTCCCAGTAGTGATGTATGAAAGTGAGAGCTGGACCATAAAGAAGGCTGATCACTGAAGAATTGATGCTTTTGAATTATGGTGCTAGAGGAGACTCTTGAGAGTCCCATGGACTGCAAGAAGATCAAACCTATCCATTCGCAAGGAAATCAGCCCTGAGTGCTCACTGGAAGGACAGATCCTGAAGCTGAGGCTCCAATACTTTGGTCAACTCATGAGAAGAGAAGACTCCCTGGAAAAGACCCTGATGCTGGGAAAGATGGAGGGCACAAGGAGAAGGGGACGACAGAGGACAAGATGGTTGGATCTTGTTCTCGAAGCTACCAGCTTGACCAAACTGCGGGAGGCAGTGGAAGACAGAAGTGCCTGGCGTGCTCTGGTCCATGGGGTCACAAAGAGTCGGACACGACTAAACGACTAAACAACAACAACAAAACTTGCTAAATTGTCAGGAATATCACACCTTGGCCTGCCTGAGCCACAGTAACCCCACATTGTGTGTGATGTAATTTCTGACTGTAGAGGGAATGTCCTTCTTCTCCATATCAAAATGCAAACCCTTAAAAGAGATGTTTCTTCTTGGTTCTGGGTCTCTCTTGCCTCCTTGCAAGGAGGGGAGGGGACTCTCTTGCAACAGAAAAATAAATACCTGCCTTGCTTTCACTGCCTCCTGCCTCCATCTCTTCCCAATCATGGACTTAGGGGACTCAGTCCCTTTTGGGAGTTGGGCGGCAAAAGCCAACCACCCCTATTTTTTCTGTATCAGATGCGAACTTCATGAGAGACTCACCTAGCCTATTTCCAACTATTTGTTGTTGTTTTTTTAAAGATATTTATTGAAAATTTTTAAAATTACAGAAAAAGACAAAGCAGAGAAAGAAAAAAGAAAAAACAGAAAAGAGAAAAAGAAAGCAAACCACATCCAACAATACAAATTCAAAAAACAAAAATACACCACAAACATACAAAAATAAAACCAACATTCTCAAATCTTCAACTTTCATTACCTTCTTTCTTTGACCTCCTCCTCCTCCCTTTTTTTGTATCCCAGTTATTAATTATCGCAGCAAATCCTTTCCATATTTCATAATATTCTGTCATTACATTACCTTGATCTATTTTCATCTTATCTTATAAAAAAACCTTAAAACTTAAATCTTATTTTTACCCACTTCTCATGACCATAATATTCTTGCCTAATTCTTTAAACATTTTTGCTAGAGCCAAGTAATTTCGTTCCAACATTTTTCTAACAGTCATCAGTTTTATAAAACAATCCTAGTAATAAAAAAAAGAAATAGAAACAATCCAATCTTCATCCAGCGTCCCTTCCTCCTGGTCCCGGGTTTTGTCAGTCCTTTTTATCCCATCGATCTAGCGCATTAACCTGGTAACCTTATATCCAAGGCCCTTAAGTCCCTTCCATGTCCCTTCCACAGCTCTTCTTCATATTCACCTTTCACTCGTGGGAACTCCAGCTTGGTAATGTTTTTGACCCTTTTCAACAAATCAGCCCCTTTTCCATAGTTCCATAGTTCAGTTCAACTCCATGTAGTATTTAAAGTCATATTTCAGAATCCCTCCAAAACTGAGAGCCCCCACAGCTCCAAACATCTCACGGCCCATTGCCAGACTCGGAAAGTCCAAACATCCCTGCATAGGGGGGTCTATCCAACCCCCCATTTCCAAATCAGTCCAAACTTTATCTTTCCTAATCTGGCTTTTTCCAAGTTCATTTGTCAAATCCAAAAGCTCATGTTCCTGCTGGGCCGCAGCTCCCTCCATCTCTGGCGCCCAAGATTGCGCAACATCCTCTTCTCTCATCTGTTCTGTCGGGGCACACTCCTGATTTAATTCCTGGGTGGGCTCCGTATAGTTTCCCACTGCCTGTTCAAAAATTCTGACCGCATTAGTCATTAAATCCGTCTTCTCGGTTAACTGTTCCAGTAGAGCATTTATTTTACAGAGAGCACACAACAGAGCTTCTGAATTCATTGTCCTACAAGGTCACAAGCCTTTTCCCACGATTGTAATCTGTGGCAGCTGCAAGCTCCCTGGAATTAGTTACAGTTTCCCAGTCTCCCTCTAGGGGGAAAACTTCTAGTTGTTCTTGCAACAAAGTTTCTTTTTTAAGATATTTTGTCAATATTTGTTCCTTTAAAATGCGAAAGGAAACAGTGGAATCACTATGTTTCTCTTCTTTTAGCTATCTGTCAAAAACGTTTGTCTCTGGTCAATGAGCTTCAAACGTCAGTCCTGACACCCCGCTCCAGGATCAGGACGGTGGAAAGTTACTTTACTTTAAACTCACTTCTGCAGGTTTAAACAGTCCGAAAAGATCCCCTTCTTCTCCTGCTGCCGAAGGGGGGTTCGAGGATTTTAAATGATGAAAGCTGATCCTTTAGAAGCGATTTTCTAAGCTCTAGTTTACGTTGTCTTTGCTTTGCTCTTTCTACAAAGAAACGGAAGGCTGACTTCCTGTTTAGACCTTCCCGTTTCAGTACCAAATTGAAATAAATTTTTAAATCCAATTCCTTTCTGCTCGCAAATCCTTATTTAAAGTCCAATTTGTTCAAAGTTTAAGTACTCACGGGTGCTTATTTTAGAAGCCAAATTGTCCCAGGAAAAAGGCAGCGCTCTCCGGCAATGGCTATGCGGCTTCGCTCCACGGAAATAGCAGTTGACTCACAGCACCGTGCCGCTTCCCCCTCTTCGCTTCGAAGCCCGTTAGTGGGTTCCTTTGCGGGTTGGGGGGCGCTAAGGGTGCCCGCCGAGTCCCATGGTCACAGGCTTCATCTGCCTGTGATTTTTAAAAGGGTCCCCGCTTCGCCGTAGCGGAAAAGACCCGTTTCGCGCGGAGCTAGTCCCTCCAGTTCAGAGGGAGTCCGCCATTGCCGATGGCGCCACCCCGGAAGTCTCTATTTCCAACTATTTGGAGTCAGGCAAATGTCTTTATTTTTAAATTTTCCAGGCCCTTCTATCTTAGCTCTAAACTGTTGTTGTTGTTGTTGTTTTTATGCTATATTATGCTTTTATTGTTGATTTTACTGCATTTTTAAACAAGTTCTTTTTGTGAGCTGCCTTAAGAACTTAAGTTATTAGGGAAACCCATAAATGCTATTAATAAATAAATACAATAACCACCATTCAAAGCAATGGATTGTTTTGCCTTGACTACATATCCAGGGTGATGTGGAGTGTATTTAAAAGAAATGAATGAGTGCATGCAGTTTTATGAAGACTTCTCTATCACAATGGCCAATATGTAGCAGACTTAGGTAGAAGAAACGTGAAGCAATAAAGCCAAGGAAGTGAGGCTGGCAGGTAATGGAGGTAGTCAGTGAAGTTACCTGCCTTCCTTTTCTGCTCAAGAGCAGGAAAGTGTGTTCTGGTTTGCTCCTGCTGCATGACCAGGACACTTCTGGGGTGGATCTACACGCAGGGGAAAAAACGCTATAAATAAGTAAGAAATTAAATCTTTATAACAAAAGGTAAAAAAACCCCGCTGTGTAAAATTGCAAAGAAAATCTTTTGCTCTCCAATGCCACCTGGTGTTGGATGTTTAGAACACATTCAAAGTGCTTTCCCCCCCCCTTTTCTTGTTTTTTTTTTACTAATATAGCTGAGTCCCTGGATGCCTTGGCTGCAGTGGCGGAGGAAGGGGGGTGCGGTAGGTGCGGACTGCCCTGGGTGTCACCACTGAAGGGGGGTGACAAAATGCCGTGTGGCACTCACTATGGGAACTGCAGTGTGCCCGAGCCATGCACCTCTCCTGGGAGAGAAGAGATGGCTTGGGCGTGCATAGGCTCCACGCTGCCCAAACCACTGCCTGCTGCCTCCCCCCAGCTGTAGGGCGGCTGAGTGGGAGGAGGCAGGCAGACTCTGAAGGCCCCACAGTGCACCCCACCCCTATGGGTGGATCGCCCCACCCCTATGGGCAGATTGCCCCACCCCTGGGCGCGCCACTCCAGACACCCGAGCGGCTTCCTCCGCCGCTGCTTGGCTGAGCCACTTTCATTTCTCTCTCTCTTTCCTCTTA